CAAAGGTAGGGAAAAAAGGAAATTGGAGAGGAACAAAGTGGGGGAAACAGAGGGAAGAATAAAAGGGTCCATTTGTGTCTAAGCAGCTGCTGGTCAGAACACTTGTCTGAATGAGCCCTGTGCCTGATCACAGTCTATCCTATCTTACTAAGATTTATTAAGTATATTTCTGTTTAATTTCACCCACTACCCCATGTGAGCCTGTTCAAAGGTCTTGGTGACAGCAACTGGAGAGACCACACTAACTGCACCAAATGCAGCAACTCAAATTAGATCATGGGTGAAAAAAGCCCATGTCTTTGTGATGCCACCAACCAACTTCGTGGTGCCGGCAACCAACTTTGTGGTGGGTCTCAGCATTAGCAACAGAAGGGACCATGGGTCATAGGGCAAATGTACCTGGGATGCCAGCAACTGGAGGGACCTGTCCATTTATATTTTCCCCTAACCTGCTGTGCATGGGTGCATATGTGTAGTTTGCTAGAAATCTTCTGGTAGGGATAGGGTGAATCTGGTAGCTTGACAGAAGCACGGCTGCCACAGCTCCATGACCCCAGGTACAACCAGTAGTGAGGCTGAGAATGTATTCCTAGTAGGCACAGACACAAACGCACATAGACAACACAGATCAGCACAGTTAGACACACTCAGCACTCACACAAACACAAACAGAACCAACAACCCCTGCTCCGGCCGATATGGATGAAGACCCAGTAGGTACAATGTGGATTCTCCCCCATAATTGGGCTAAGACACTCAGTCTACCAAGTAGCTGGCTACCGGACCCCAGTCTCTCCAGTTGCTGGCACTTGGTCATAGAAGCCCCTGACGCCACAGCCTCACTCCAGTTGCTGTTACAGAACCTCTTAACCCACAGACACACACATACAGACACTCACAACTTTCCAGCAATTGGCTGGGAGTCCCCTGGTTCCCTCTGGTAGCCAATTCCTTCTATGCTTTTGCCCTTTGAGACATACAAGCACGCACACACAGAGCTTACTGCGACTCTCCTGCTCCCTGTGGTAGCCAAGTCATGTTTATGTATGACCAGCCCTTTTAATCCCCTTATACCTCTATCTCCCCGTGCTTGTTCCTCCCCCAATCACCTAGATTCATTCCTTTGGTTACTCCCATAAACACTCCATAAATCTATTGTAAACCCAGAACAATCTTACCTTGCATCCCAGATACCTTCGCAGCACCTTTTCCCTCCCCCCAAAAAACCCCAACAGTCCCGCTCCTGCTGTCTGGGTTTTATCTCTAGAAATAAACCCCATCAGGGCTGATGTCTGTCCTGGGACAACCCTGGGAGGAGGCCAGGACAGAGTGTTCCACCTCTCCAAGAGGTGGAATTTGGGTTCTCATGTGCCATTGTGCCCTGAGCACCTCCAGGCTTACAGAGATGGGCCTGTGACATGGTCCTGTGATAGGCTTGGAAGCAGCCAGGGCTGCTTGTATTAC